ATGAAAATTTTTATTATAATAAAATTTAAATTTTAAACTTAAATTAGTGAAATAAATAGAGCCTAAAAACACTCAAATTAATAAAGCCAATGATCTTGAGGGTATATCTGTCCTAATAACAGAACTGCTGAGTCTGAAAAAACCCAGTGCACTTTTTCAAGAAAAGTACGCGGTTTGCTTCCGCCGTAACACATAAAACATCGTCCATACAAATATTTACACGATATCCTGCATGTACACGATATCCTGCATGTGACGAAAGGAGTGTTACCTGTGTAGCAGGAAGGGAAAAAAAAAAAAAGACAGAGAAATTGTTGCGGCGTCCTCTTTATTCTTATTTTGTGAACTGCATAAGTGGAATATAGCCGGGGGAAAAAAAAAAGAAGATTATTTCTTTTCCAAACAAAATATCTATATATATTTACTGGGCAAATGAGTAATTGCGATAGGTATCTCTCTTTTTCTTTTCTTTCTTTTTCTGTTTTTGGGTAAGCAATGAGCGACCACAACCCCCCCCTCTTTTTTTTTTTTTTTTTTTTTCTTTTTCTTTCTTTCTTTCTTTTAAGAGGGGCCATAAGCACTTGCCTATGAAAACTCGGGTTTACTGGAATATAGATAAGACGGTGTGTGCCACACGTGATGTGAACCTTATTTCATAGATTTTATCCAGAAGCGCATTATAGAAATTCTTCAAGAATTTCAAGCAGTGCTCATCGCTTCAATCATGACTTATCTACTGCATAATTATAACAATGATTTTTTTTGCTAGAAAATTATAATAGTGCTTGCAAGTTATGAACTAGGGCTTTTTTGTGTCTGAGTGGTTGTTTTCCTTCTTGATTTATTTTTTGGGCTATATAATATGAATAATAGATAAATCAATGTCTATTAACTTCTGATTTTGTGTTTAAAGGTTTGTGTATTTGTGCAGGGAACACTTTATAAGTTTACATATACGTCAACACTATATAAGTTCTGTGGGGGACGAAAAAGAACGAAGATGAAAAATCGGAATTGACAACCTCAGTTGACACTAATTGACGGATCTATACTGTGACCAGTGTAATTGTGTCTTATAACTAATTAAATAATAAAGATTTAAACGCTACATCTTAAAGTGGAATTAAATTTAAATTTATCGTTATGCTAAATTTGTAATCACTATAGATGTATAAATAGATAATATATTTTATTAGTTGAGAACTTAGTAATAATACTATGAAATTTTTGCCAAAAAAAATAAAAAACATATCTCGATCTGTTGTTAGGTTTGTTTTTTTGTTTTAGAAAATCAGGAGAAGTGTTAGTACTATATTCTTATCAACTCTATTTATTCGTGAATTCTATTTATCAACTAATGCCCGAGTAAGAAATCATATTAGTACCTAATATTTACTATAAAAAGGTCAAACGATTTTTTATATGTACAAATCTGGGAACATACTAAAGCAATGACTCCATATATAGTATATACGAAACCCAATTTAGAACCTTTAGCCAGAAGAAACGTACAGTATAGATCCTTTTTTGATGGAAATTTTAATTACCTAGATAGACACATGAGATCGGTATATAGAAAATAATGATCAATATCACAGGACATTTTCCTTTTCTCTTATTTTCTTTCTTTGCATTTTCTTTTATTATATATATATATATATATTTATTGGAGAAAGAAGACAAATGCACTTTAAAAGTACATTATAAACCCTTTTCTGGTGGAAATTTTAATTACCTAAATAGACACATGAGATCGGTATATGGAAAATGCTGATCAAGATCGCAAGACATTTTCTTTTTCTCTTATTTTCTTTCTTTGCATTTTCTTTCATTTTTTTGGAGAAAGAAAACAAATACACTTTAATTACCTAAAAAGTGCATGAATCACCGAATATATGAATATATGTCTCTCTCTTCCTCTCTCTCCTCACCGAATATAATATATATCTCTCTCTTCCCTCTCTCTATCTTCATGTTCTCTCTCCTTCCACTCTCTCTCTTCTTCACGCCCTCCATCTCTCACTTTCTCTCTGTCCGCTCCAGTAGCAGTACCGTTTCTGAAAATGGTGAGAATCTCCCCCTTTCTCTCTCCCTCTTCTCTCACTTTCTGGTTCTAGGTGATTTTACCTTCTGAAACAAAAATTTTTCCTCCTTTATTTCTTTGTTTTTTTAAGTACTCCGTTATTTCTTTGAGTTCCAAACAAAGCAAAAACATTTTTTTTTTCCTCTCATTTTTTCTTTGCATTTTCTTTCTTTTTTTTTTTTTTTTGAGAAAGGAAAAATAGAGGAGAATGTTCTGTGATCGGGTTTATAGAGGGGAACTTTTTGCAATGACAATATGTCATCATAATTAATATAAAAACAACACCGTTCTTCATCACCTCATTAATATTTATGGATTGTTTGATATTACCTTATAAATTAAACTACCAAACACAGTTTAATTTTTTTTAAAATTAAAATCAATCTCTAAATAAAACTATCAAACACATTTTCAAAAATAATTTCAAAATGAAAATGTTTTTATTTCTATTTTTATACAAAAAATAAAATTATTTTAGAACGAATTTTAAACACATCATATGATTCAAAAGGAGTATTTTTTTTTCTTTCTTTTCCCTCCTTTGACGTCCACGATAATCCCCCTTTTCTTGCATTGACTATGTAAATGGCTAAATTATATCAAAGGATGGGTATATTTGCAAGTTGTCTACTTACTGCCACTAAGCCAAATACAGAAAAAAAACCATGCAATATATATCAACTCAATTAAGAAAATTAATTGACTTGAATTGGGTGATTGATGGGCTGTCAATGAGGTAGAAAGCGTGTTGCAAACCATGGTCAAAGTTTCTTTGTACGGTCATTGACTCCAAAGACATTAAACCAATTCTCACCCTTACCAATTCAGTGTAGAACCAATTATCACCAACAAAGTGCAATAACAAACGGTGGTTGGCCATTGCTATTTTATATATATATATATATATATAAAATATACATAACTATATAAATATAACATAAAATTGAACGTATATGTATTTTAATGTGCTCATTTGACTTTCTTTTTAATGTTTTTACTGTCTGTAGTAGATGGAGTTTACTCCTAGTGTCTTTAATACTTAAATTTAATTTAATGTTTTTTTTTTTGTTTGCAAATCTGTTGAAAAGAAATTTAGTTACGCAGTTTGCTTCTGACTTTGTGCTAATTCTGCAACTGTGTAAGCCATATATAACTTGTGGTTTTGACTATATATATAAAACAAAATATATCAAGCTGTTTACGATATATATTTACAATGTAGGACATCTAATTCTGCATTTTACTCTTATAGTCTCCGTGATGTGACATCCACCTTATGTGTGTGTATATATATATATATATTCCTTAAAGAGAAGATCTCTCCTCTTTTTTAATAATATATTCTTCCTTTGAAAAACCTTAAGTTGTAGAAATTTTGCGACATTTGTACGCTTAAAATCAGTCAGTAATGCAGATGCAATTATTCCATGCACAAGAAAAGAAAGAAAACTAGTCATTTCCTTTTGTTTGAAGATAATTGGTTAAAGAATTTCACACATTCTTGTTATTTTATGACGCACCCAGAGAAATATCGGCTTTAACATCGAAGGAGTTAGTCTCCTCCTGCAGCCAGATTACTCACTTACCAAATGAAGCCTCGCTAATTTCTATTGCTATGCATGTGATCTCATCAGCTTTATTTCCTATATTACCAGTATGACAAATTAAAGCTTGATCAATACAAGAGAGAACCCAATTATAGTACAGTGGATGGAGCCGATTATGATACAGCATATCAGGACCTTCAACCTTAATTTAATTAGTTTGACCCTCGTGAATATATTCAAACTTTCATATATATATATATATATATATATTCTCTTCTACCATCTCTCTTCTTCTTCTGCTCATAACCTATATACTAGATTTAAATTTACCGATCCTCATGCTAGTTTCTTTTTTTAAAATCTTTTTTGGGATAGTTAGATTCATAATTGCGTATCAAAACGATGCGCAATATTTACTATAAAAAATTCAAAACGATTTTCTATATATACAAATCCGGGAACGTACTAAAGCAATGACTCCATATATAGTATGTAAGAAACCCAATATAGAACCTTTTGCTATAAGAAGTGTAAGGTATAGACGTGGAAATTTTAATTACCTTGAGATTGGTATCTGGATATATAATGATTATCAAGATCACAACACATCTTCCTTTTCTCTTATTTTCTTTCTTTGCATTTTCTTTCATTTTTTTTTAGAACGAAGAGATCATTGAATATATATCTCTCTCTTCCTCTCTTTCCTCATATCTCTCTCTTCATGCTCTCTCTCCCTCCACTCTCTCTCCTATATACTAGATTTAAGTTTTCCGATTCCTCCTCTCTCTCTCTCCTACGTACAAAGGTTAGTGAATGAATTACTTTTTCTTTAATATAATTTGAAGTCAATCAATCATATGAACGTGCAGAAACCTCATTTGCTTTAGAAAAAAGGCTAATCTCGTCCCAACCACAAATTGGCCCTTTTTCAAGTCATAACAACCCTTTTGAGTTCAAGATATGTGTTATTGGATTCACATTAAGGTGGAACATCCATCCATGCATACATGGAATTCGGTGATCAACAATGTGCATCAAGTGGTGGTCTACTGATCCTACGGTTGATATGGAACATCTTACCTACGGTTGATATGAAATAGTTGCTTCTTTCTGCCCTTTATAACCCCATCAATCATACCTTATCTTTTCGTAGTCTTGTTAACTTCCTCTCTCTCTCAGGTTGGACGCAACACTTTTCTCTCTCTAAGGCCAGAAATAATCAGGGTATGAACATGTTAGTTTCTTTTTTTTAAATATTTTTTTGGATTGTTTTATTTGAATTACTAAATCCGCATTCAACTGAGATATAGCCTTGAAATTGAAAATGTAATATTAAAAATCTATTTTGATGTAGTGTTACTTGCCCTAGAATGGCTTTGGCGAGCTGGTTAGTTTTGGCTGCCGTGTTGCTGGCACAAGTATTCAAAGCAACACTGCACATACTATCCAGAGTGATTATGAAGGACGGAACCTTCGTTTTCGCGCTAATTACTTACCATAATACAGTTTCTGCCCTATCGATTGCCCCTCTTGCCTACTACTTTGAGAGGTTTGTTAGTTTTTAATGTGCTTATTTGGCTTTCTTTTTAATGTTTTTACTGCCTGTAGCAGATGGAGCTTACTCCTAGTGTCTTCAATACTTAAATCCTTTTTTTTTTTTTTTTTTTTTTTTTTTTTTTTTTTTGCATTTGCAGATATGGTGAAAAGAAATTTGGTTGTGCAATTTGCTTCTTGCCTTTTGCTAGTGCTGCAACCGTGTAAGCTATATCTAACTTGTGGTTTTGACTATACATATAAAACAAAATATACCAAATTGTTTATGATATATATTTGCAATCCAGGATATCCGATTCTTCATTTTACTATTACGGTCTCCGTGATGTCACAGCCACATTTGCCACTAACTTATACAACTTAATTCCCATATTCACTTTTCTCTTGTCACTCATCACCAAGTAAGACATGTATATCAAAAACTTTGTTCATCGTTATTGCCAATTTTTTTATACAAATTTTCATTATTTTGTTTTCAAATTGCATATGTGCTTGCAGAACAGAGAAACTAGACCTGCGAACCAAACAAGGAAAAATAAAGACTTTTGGAGTGTTGCTGTCGCTTGTTGGAGCACTAGTTGCATCCCTTTACAAGGGAAATGAATTGTATATTGTTTACCACCACCAACACAGGGACTCTCAGACGGTCACCACCCAGAACTCCCATGCCCACTGGGCGCGCGGCACAATCTTGATCATTGCATCATGCTTGACACGTGCATTATGGTTCATAGTGCAGGTACGTGGCTAGCCACTTTAAGAGAACAAAGGATTCATGTTCATTTCATGTCTTTTGAATTCCCTTTTTTTTTAGCTAATTCTTATTATTAACACTTTATAAAAATTATATAAGATTATATAAGTTATTTGTTCTCTTTCTTTCAGCGTAAACTCTTGGCGGTATTTCCTTTTAAATATACGGCAATTATGCTGCAAGGTGGTATATCATCCACGCAATCAGCAGTAATTGGCCTTTGCCTAGATAGACATGTTGCTGCATGGAAGCTCGGCTGGAATTTAGAACTGCTCGCCATAGTTTGCTCGGTAAGCCTACAATTTCTAACTCATTTAGTGCTTATAGAACTGTGTTTCTAACTTATTTGGATGCTTGTTTGGCTTATGGGAAAAAGAACCAGAAAATTGATTAGCAATATGCTTTTCCAAGTCGTTATGTTTCAACCGAGAACTTCTGGAGTTCATGAAAATAGAGGAGAATAGTTGAATTAGGACGCTTTTAACGAGAATGAGAAGCCTACATTTATGTAATCAATGTCAAAGAAATTATTTAAGTTTGAGTTTTGTTGATTTTCTGTTGCTTGTTAATTACCTTCTATGGTCCGCCTTTCTGAGTTTCAACAATGTTTGTAAACTCTTTAATGATGGATAAATCAATGTATATTACTGTCAGAATTTTGCGTTTAAAGTTTGTGTATTTGTGCAGGGAACACTTTATTCAGCCGCAACATTTTGCTTACAATCGTGGGTGATCTCAATCCGAGGCCCCACTTATCCATCCATGTTCAACCCGGTCGGTCTAATTTTTGTAACCGTAACAGAAGCACTCTTACTTGGTGAAGCCATCAGAGTCGGGAGGTATGTTTTATTTTTCTTTCATTCACATTTGAATTCACTCTAAATGGATAACAATTATCTTAATACGCAATATCCACATATCACTAACGAAAGCATTCTAATATTGTGAATTGGAATTGTATTGTACCAGTTTGATTGGCATGATCGTCATTCTCGCTGGGTTATACTCCTTTCTGTGGGGCCCCAAAAAGAAAGAAGATGGAGAATCGGAGTCGACAACCCAACACGTGATCAGAGATCGGGTCAATGCTGGATAAGTGTCTTCTATACTAGGTGAAGGCCATTGGAAGAAATGCTTAGTGATTGTTATATGTTTAGACAAGTAACATTCTGTGTTTTCTTTATATGTTTAGTACTCATTAAATACTTAAAAGTAATATTATATGTTCAGTACTCATTAATTTAAAAGATTTATTCTTATAAAGAGAATTACGTACTTAAATACGATCGTAAATGAGCATGAACACTAATTACAAAGGCATTTAATTCTAAATATCATGAGATTCATTTCTGCCTTTCTTTATGGTAAAATATTAAACTATATATAAGCTTCAACTATCACGAGTAACAGAACTCCTTTTTTTATGCATATATAATTAGTTTTCTTCCTCTTGGATAACGTTAAATATTCTTGTGTTACCACCACCAACACAGGGACTCTCATACGGCCACCACCCAAAACTCCCATGACCACTGGGCGCGCGGTGCAACCTTGATCATTGCATCATGCTTGTCACGTGCATTATGGTTCATAGTGCAGGTACGTGGCTGGCCACTTTAAGAGAACAAAAGATTCATGTTCATTTCTGCCCTTTTTTTTTTAGCTAATTCTTATTATTAACAGTTTTTAAAAATTACATAAAAAAAATTATAGAGTAGTTTTAATATTATATAAGTTCTTTGTTCTCTTTCTTTCAGCGTAAACTCTTGGCGGTATTTCCTTTTAAATATACGGCAATTATGCTGCAAAGTGGTATAACATCCATGCAATCAGCAGTAATTGGCCTTTGCCTAGATAGACGTGTTGCTGCATGGAAGCTCGGCTGGAATTTAGAATTGCTCGCCATAGTTTGCTCGGTAAGCCTACAATTTCTAACTCATGTAGTGCTTAATTAGGGATGTCAATGAGGCGAGGCAAACAGTATCCCGCCCCATTTACGTGTGAAAAACAGAACAAATAAACAAACATAAACCAGTAAAGACTCTAAAAAAACAGAACTGTGTTTGTTGGATGCTTGTTTGGCTTATGGGAAAAAGAACTGGAAAATAGATTTGCAATATGCTTTTCCAAGTCGTTATGTTTCAAACGAGAACTTCTGGAGTTTATGAAAATAGAGGAGAATAGTTGAATTAGGACGACTTTAACGAGAATGAGAAGCCTAAATTTATGTAATCAATGTCAAACAAATTATTTAAGTTTCAGTTTTGTTGATTTTTTGTTGCTTGTTGCTCTCTAAGGTCCGTCTTTCTGAGTTTCAACAGTGTTTGTAAACTCTTTAATTATAGATAAATCAATGTATGTTAACTTGAGAATTTTGTGTTTAAAGTTTGTGTATTTGTGCAGGGAACACTTTATTCAGCTGCAACATTTTGCTTACTTTCGTGGGCGATCTCAATCCGAGGCCCCACTTATCCTTCTATGTTCAACCCAGTCGGTCTAATTTTTGTGACCGTAACAGAAGCACTCTTACTTGGTGAAGCCATCAGAGTCGGGAGGTATGTTTTATTTTTCTTTCATTCACATTTGAATTCCCTCTAAATGGATAATAATAATCTTAATACGTAAGATCCACATATCAGTAATGAAAGCATTCTAATATTGTGAATTGGAATTGTATTGTACCAGTTTGGTTGGCATGATCCTCATTCTCGCTGGGTTATGCTCCTTTCTGTGGGGGGCGAAGAAGAAAGAAGATGGAGAATCGGAGTTGACAACCCAGTTGACGCAGGACACGTGATCAGAGATCTGGTCAATGTTGGATAAGTGTCTTCTATACTAGGTGAAGCCCATTGGAAGAAATCCTTAGGTGGTTGTTATATGTTTGGACAAGTAATATTGTATGTTTTTAATTAATACTAATGCTAAGTTGTTGAAAAGTCTATTAATGTGAAAACTGAAAAGAAATTCCAGTCAAACTTGGTTGTTTAAAGATTATCAGAAATAGGCAGGTTCATGTTGAGATATAAATTCATTTTCTTTTGTAAGAGCTTATGTAATATGAGTTCCTCTGAATTTCAGTGCATTCCCTTCCACATTTTGGTACAGAAACTTAGATAAAAAGCTAATTAAATCTTACATATCTGTGTGTATATACGTATACGTGTTCTTTCATTAAGTTCTTTTGTTTTCTACCTATCCATAAGTACTATAGATATTTTTACCTATCCAATAGTTTTGGCTTTCCCACCTTATAATGTAGATTCAACTTCTCAATTCTACAAACATTTTCAAGGAAAACAAATATTTGTATTATAATATTGGTATGCAAATGAACTTTCTCGATTCCAAAATAGATGATAAATAATTTAAAATAAAGTTCACTGAATATTTTTCAATATACATATGTTTGAATTACCTGGCAATAATGGAGAAGATAAATGTGATATGCTAAAGAAGCTAGTGACAAATGTCGCAATGGTGTCTCGAACACCATAAAAGAACAATCCTATTGCCAAATTAGTGTTGTCAATTGGGTTGGGCCGTCCATCACTACAACAAAAAGGGTTATTAGCGACCACATTTATCGTTGCTAAAATTATAATATTAGCGATGACATGTCATCACATAAAAGAAAACAAAATTTTTGAATGATTTTTCGTCGCATTAAATATTTGTGATGACATGTCGTTGCACAAAATTTATATATTTACGACGACATGTCTTCGCTAAAATTGAACGGATTATTAGCGATGACATGTCGTTGCTATTATCCATTGGCGCCAAAACCAATATGGCACTAGTTTGTACATTATTTGTGAGGACTTATCGTCATAAATATTGATGGTTACAGCTGGCGCGACGTGACCAAAAAGAGGCGGGAAATTTGGCGGTTTCCCAGGAATAGGTTCTAGATATTTCTTTATTTTTTGCGACGACGATGCAAAGCGTCGTCGCAAAAAATGGTTCCAGAAAATTCTTTTCAGAACGACTGTTTTTATGATGAACGACTGTTTTTACGACGACACATGTCGTAAAAAAAAAGGGTTCCAGAAAATTCTATCAAGGACGACTGTTTTTTACGACGATAGTTTTAATAATGTCGTCGTAAATAACCGGGGATTTAATTTTCCCTAAAAAAAGGGCGGAAACTTTGGCCGTTTTCTCAAAATTATTTGCGACGAAATAGTTAAATTATAATCGCAAAAAATGAACCAGGGTATATTCCTCAAAAATATTCTCAGAAATATTAATGAGGTAATGAAGAACACCATCGTTTTAACATTAATTGCGATGGTGTTTTAATCTTTGTTGCGACGACACAATGTCGTCGTAAAAAACCACCTGCATAAATGAAATCGCAGACCTCCTTCCACAATTTTTCTAGGTGAGCCTCTCGCGTTTTCCCTTACACTCTTCGTCCAAAACCTCTAAAAACCATCTAAAAACACTTAAAATAGCTTAAAAAGATCGTTCTCTCCTCAAATCTTTCATTTTTGGAGTTTTCATCTCCCCCTCGCCGCCCACTTTTCTGGCCGCACTTGCCGTTTTCCGGCTGCCGGCACCCTA